TCTTTGCCGATGGCGCCGAGCAGGAATTCGATTATGGTTTGGGCCGTGTTACCTGCTAGCGGCCGTTGGTCCGGCGACCCCGCGTGCTCTTGGTTTAGAGCCGTGGCGAGACCAACAGTTGCGGTCTGGTCAAGGAGGTTGTCAGCGGCCTCCCCGCCCGCACGGAGACACATGGCGACCGTGAGAAGCCAGACCCCGAAAGGCCTAGCCTCGCGCGACGTGGTGGTTGCCGTGAAATTCCGGGCCGTCGTTGGAGCTATAATGGTGATCTTCCCGGAGCCATGCTTCGCCTTCTCCGGAGTTACTGTAGAATGAGCCTTGTTCTAATGTCTCGTCGCCTGCATGGTGGTGTTCGTGGAACTGGGAAGTCGACGGCAGCGGGGGGGGGTGCTTCTGTTCTGCAGGGTTCCTGGCGGAGGCGGCGGTGGCCCCGCGTCGTGCGAGGACGCATCGTATTCAGCAGCTGAGATTCGCAACCAAGTGCGGCCGCATTGTTGCTGCTACGACGGCCGATCACCTGCTTCAGCACTCTGGTGCCGTTCCCCCCGCTGCTGCAAGCGCTCGCGCTGATCTTGTTGAAAGGTCTTGCTGCATGCGCAAGTGGGCGGTTACGGTGGCCTCCTCTTGGCAGTGTCGAACGTACGTGACACGGTAGGCTCCACGGGTAGAAGAGCTTGGCGAAGTTCTGTCTCCCGTAGGCTCCAGTTGTGTGTGTGTGTGTTCTACAAGGCCGTGAAGCAATGCTCGGAGGCTTCTCTTTGCCAGAGGAGCTCTGTAGGTTCCTCTCCGCGCTGTTGTTGTTAGCCGGCACGTTAAAGGTAGAACGATGGAGGAAGATGAGTAATTGGTTGATTGGTCGATTATGTAACGGTATAAAGAATGCGTAGGTGTAAAGAAGATGGCCCTATCGATGCAGATTCTCATCCATTTCTGAAATGCGTCGCTTCCGGTGTCCCATGGCGACCATGGCTCCGCCGTGTTTTGCATGCGTTCCAGCAGGTGTTGTCGCTTCTTGTTGGCCGCCAGGTGCATCATACAGCTGCGGTACCGACGTGGCCCGCGATTGAGGCAACCCTAGAGGAGGGCGCCTCCCTCGTCAGGGTCTTCGCTGGGGTCGTCCCCAGAACTGTTCGCGGAGTCGGGATCTTGGATGGGGTCGTCATCATCCTCGTAGTTGTTTGCGGCGCAGGGCTGGTGCCCCTCAGCCAGTAACCGCGCGGTTAGGGTGACCCGACGCCCTCGAGCGACCTATCTGGATTGGTAGCGCCACGCGCAGCGTTCGCCGTGCCAGTTCCGCGTGTCGCGGGTGAGTTAGGGTCGCGCAGCCCATGGGGCATGGCGCGCAGGGCCCTGTGGAGAGCCCGAACAATGATCATGGTGCTTCGTTCCGCGGGCGGCGGTGGAGGGTGTGTAGCTTGATGTTCAGCGTGGAGTCTACGTCGTTTCCGAAACTGGCGTATGTCCTATTGTTGACACCGGATGCTCTTGCTGTGTGTGCAGTTTGCTGGTGCGCTGGGCAATCTTTTGTACTCCACTCGTTTGGGTGAGTGGCCGTGCTGCTTAGAGCAAGTGCTGCGGCGCCGCGCTGGTCCGTTGTGCGGGAGTTCGCACGGCGCCGCAAGGGCAGCGCGGTGCTGCTCGTCGCCGACGCTGGCGGAAGACTGTGCAAACACAGTTCTCATTCGTTGAAGGGAAACTACTTGTGGGCACTGGCGTCCCTATCCCTTTGTTACTTCGGGGCGCGGCCTGGGCGTGCGCGAGAATATTCAATAGGAACCGAGACATGAGGGCGTCGAACCGAAGCTGGCGGACGCTAGTGCGCGGCGGGCTAGGCGGGCGTCGCTGAGCCCAATGCTGCGGACGCGAGCTGTGCGAGCGCGGGCAAGCTAAAGCTGCCGTCGACCCTTGAACGACGGACACATAAAACAAAAAAGCATTTAGCGAGTCCCTGGCTATGGCTATGGCTATGGCTATGCCAAGACTCCTGCCCCTGCAGGAGTCGATGCGGATTCAAGATCCACTCCCGCGACGTGTGCGAGCTCGATGGGGTGAGGGGGGTGCCCATCGAGCCCCCTTCAATACGGTCCCGGCGATTATGCTGACATCGAGCGCGTGCATGCTTCCTCGGGCACCTGGTCGATGCCTCATATGCCATGGTTCCCTGAGGTGCCAGCAGGGCTGGCCTCGCTGGCTAGTCCACTGGGGTCGGCCCAGGGTCGGTTGGTTTCTGAACTGCCTGTGACGTTTGGGGTTGGGCGAGCGAGCCGAGAGGTGCTATTTGGTTCGTGGAGGCCCTCAAGTCTGTGTTCATGCTGGTTTGCCCGCAGTGGACCGCACAGACCCCGTTGTTCGAGTTGGTGGCGTTGCTGCGCGATGGTGGCCTGACTGGTGGTTTCGCCGGTGACGGTTGTTCTGAGCCGCTTGACGGTTTCGGAAGTTGCTGTTGGTCAGCCCTCAGTTCTGAACCTCGGGTCTGTTTGGTCGGTGATACCTTGAATTCCAGGTCGCGGCATCCACTCCTCCTTAGAGACTTCGTCATAGCCCATTGCCGCGTGCTGCTCGTGGGTGGACAAGGTTGGAGCGTCGGTACCTTCACTTCTGTCGTTGCCGCCCGCCGTTCCGCAGTCGTCAGCGTCTTTTATGGCAAGGTGGCTATCTTCGATGTGTGATGATGTTCTTCTTGATGTTGCTGCCTCGATTGTGAGAACCGTGCGCGCTGCTGCCGCGCTGCTTTTTCCCGGCGGTGGTGCTCGGCGGCGGTGGCGTTTCTGATTCGGCAGCGGCTTCAGCAGCGCTTGGAGGCACGGTCCGATGACCGCCCTGCGCAGCAGGGATGGGGAGGCGTTTGGCCCTGCGCCCCCTTCCCCCCCCCCCCTGCGGGCGATCCAAACTACTTGGAGGCTTGGGCGTAGTGCATGGTGCAGGGGCGTACGGCGAGGGCATTTTTCGGAACCATGGCGCACACCCGGGACTGAAGGGACTTGCCGCACATCGATCACGGCTTGCGACGGGCCGCACCAGGTCTCGCGAGGCCACCATCTGAGAGAGAGGTAGAAAAGAGAGAGAGAGAGAGAGAGAAAAGAGAAAGAGAGAGAGAGCGATAATGAAAAACAGAGAGAACGAAATAGAGAGAGAGAGAGAGCAAGAGAAAGACAGAGACAGGGACAGAGAGAGAAAGAGAGAGAGGCGGACCGAGGGAAGGGAGAGCGAGAGGGAGAGGGAGGGAGAGAAAGAGAGACAGAGAAATATATGGAGAGAGACAACAACACATACATACAAACATACATACATACCTACCTACCTACGTACGTCCGTACGTACGTACATACATACATACATGCATGCATGCATGCATGCATGCATGCATGCATGCACACATACATACATACATACATACATACATACATACATACATACATACATACATGCACATATATATATATATTCAAATATTTGCATAGCCATATATAGAGTGGGAGAGAAGGAAACAACTAGAGAGGAATAGTGAGAAAGAGTAGAAGGGGCACATACTCACGGACGACCCCCCGCCTGCCTCCACTATCCGCCCGCCCTACAAGTCCCTCTACGTCCTCCACGTCGGCGCCGCAGTGGGGGAAGCGGCCAGTGCTGCGTAGCGGGGATATTTGCCCTCCTCATCCTCATTATTCTTCTTGCCCCTTTCACCCTTCTGACCTCCTGCTCCCAGTCTTATCTTCCTCTTCCCTCCCGCTTCCTTCTACCCCTCATCGTTCCAGCTCTCTCTCTCTCTCTCTTTTTCTTTATCCTTTTTCCCCATTCAGAGCGTGCCTCTGTAGGGGTTCTAGCAGATTCATATGGCTAGGTTAGCTGTGGCGCCGATTTCGGTGGCACGCCCGGGTGCCTGGTTGCCCAGGTGCCCGGGTGCCGGGTAGCCCGATAGCCCTATAGCCCTATACCCTATAGCCTCATAGCCCCATAGCCCTATAGCCGTATAGCCTTATAGCCTCAGAGTCTTATAGCCCCATAGCCCTATAACCCTACAGCCATATAGCCCCATAGCCCTGTAGCCCTAAGAAGATTACGATTGGGTTTTTCTCTGGTATCATTTTCCCCTACCTAGGCTCTGCCTAGAAGGGTTCTTACTCGGTATGCTTAAAGGGCCGGGCAGTGTTCCACGCCCCAGGCGGTTCCCCCGTCATCCGCCCCGCGGTTCCCCCAGTTGCGCCCCTTGGGTTCACCCAGCTTAGCTAAGCTTAGCATAGCTTAGCATAACTTAGCTTATCTCATATTAACTTAGCTTAGCTTAGCTTAGCTTTGCCTAGCCTAGCTTAGCTGACCTGAGCTTGTCTCCTCTTAGCTTAGCTTAGCTTAGCTTAGCCTAGCCTAGCTTAGCTTAGCTTAGCATAGCTTAGCTTAGCTTACCTTAGTTTAGCTTAGCTTAGCGCAGCGCAGCATCGCGCAGCGCAGCATTAGCACAGCATAGCATAGCATAGCATAGCCCAGCATAGCATAGCATAGCATAGCATAGCCCAGCATAGCATAGCATAGCATAGCATTGCATAGCATAGCATTGTGAAACTGTAGATGTAGAAGTAGATGTAGGTGTGGATGTGGATGTAGGTGTAGGTGTATATGTAGATGTAGATGTATGTGTAGATGTAGGTGTATATGTAGATGTAGACGTGAGTCTCGCTGTTGATGTAGATGTAGATGCAGGTGTAGATGTAGCCGTAGCTGTCGGTGTAGATGTAGATTTTGCTTCCCTAAATGCTCCAACTCCTGGGTAGGGTCGCACTGGGATACTTTATACCTACATGTGTATAGATATGTTTCAGTTTCTCTCTCTCTCTCTCTCTCTCTCTCCCTTCCTCTCACACTCCCTTCCTCTTCCTTCCTCTTCCTCCCTCTTCCCAGCTCTCTCCCGATTCGGGGGGAAGGGTGGGCGGGATGATGCAGGCCATCCTCCCTCGTTCCTCCGATGACCCTCCCCCCCTCCCTGCCCGCACCCTGCCGCAACCAAGGTTCGCCGCGATGCCGCAGATGATGCCCCCCGCGGGCCAGATGCAGCCGATGAGCCCGCAGATGGCAGTTCAGTTCGTCGGCCAGGGCCCGTACCCGGGCGGCGAGGCCACGCACCCACGATCGACCATGTTCTTCTTTTTGTTGACGCTTCGCTAACTCAAGGTCAGAGCCTGAAGCGTTGTGATGCAACATCGATCGCCGACTTGAGCGGAGTGAAAAACAAATTGAACCTGGATGGCGCAGCAAAAAAAAGACGGGGAGTGAGTACTGGAAGAAAGAGGACCCTCAGGGCACAGAGTATACGCCAGCCAGGCAGCGTGAGAGGAGGAGGGACCGATAGAATGAAAGAAACCATAATCAATACAACTATCTTAATCAGGGGGAGGAAATGGGTAGGGAACGAAATACACGTGCACAGTGAACGGCGTCGTTGGCAGGTGCCACACGTAGGCCAGGCCGCACTCTCATGTCTCTCCTCATCCGTTGTCCTTTCGACTCAGGTGTTGACACTGAGATATTCTGCGTCTCAGAGGAGAAACCGTATTCAATTATCATCCTACGTATCTCGGGCGGGGCTGTTTTTTCTAATTCCCTACCTAGGCTCTGCCTAGAAGGGTTCCTACTCTCTTAGCTTAAGGGGGCCGGGCAGTGCAACACGCCCCGGGCGGTTCCCCCAGTCCCCTGGGAGCGGTTCCCCCCAGTCCCCTGGGAGCTTTAGCTTTAGCTTTAGCTTTAGCTTTAGCTTTAGCTTAGCTTTAGCTTAGCTGTAGCTTAGCTTTAGCTTAGCGTTTCGCTTAGCTTTTCGCTTAGCGTTTAGCTTAGCTTTAGCTTATATTTAGCTTAGCTTTAGCTTAGCTTGAGCTTAGCTTTAGCTTAGCTTTAGCTTAGCGTTAGCTTAGCTTTAGCTTAGATTTAGCTTAGCTTTAGCTTAGCTTTAGCTTAGCTTTAGCTTAGCTGTAGTTTAGCTGTTGCTCAGCTTTAGCTCAGCTTTAGCTTAGCTTTAGCTTAGCTTTAGCTTAGCTTTAGCTTAGCTTTAGCTTAACTTTAGCTTAGCTGTGGCTTAGCTTTAGCTTAGCTTTAGCTTAGTTTTAGCTTAGCTTTAGCTTAGCGTTACTGTTACTACTAATGCTGCTTTCCTAGGGGTTCCAACTCCTAGGTAGGGTCGCACTGGGATAATCATTCCCTCCCTCATCCTGTCTTTCGCCCGAATAAGCGTGCTGGTCCTTCTCGTTTCCCACCATCGCAAATTTGGCCCAGGGCAGTTGGCTCCTTGGCGTGGGGGGGGGGGGCGATCGACGATTTCGCATGCGCTGAAGCCGACGACCATCTCGTCACGCTCAGCATGCGCCCTCCACGTCGAAGGTGTGGCGCCCATGGTTGACCAGGAAGCTTTCAGAAGCGGACCTCCTGAACCATCGCTTGTGTGTTGCATGGGCTTGCACGCCCGCGGTGGTGTCGCTCTCAGCGTGGCCTCCAGAATCGGACTGTAGGGGCCAGGGTTCAAGCCCGCACCTGCGACGCTCCCCCGAACCACGCTGTCGTCCTGTTTGAAGGCGGCGGCCATCACGAAGATCCGCCAGCGCACCTCCGACCGCGGGCCCCCTCCGGCGAGCAGCTGCATCATCGGGGGCTCCCGCCTCATAAGGGCCCGCATGTGGCGCGCCCGCGCCGACGCGTCGTGAACGAACTTGCCTCCCAGGCGCGGCGTGGCTGGCCCGCTTGCCTGCGAAGGGTCGTTGGATCTGTTGGAGGACGGCCTCCTCGCTCTGCTCTCGTAGGAAAAAGGTACCCACACCGCTATCATTCGCCCCTTTTACCCCAAAACCTCCTGGGAGGCCCTCGTCGCCCGTCACCAGCGCCGACTTCGCAGCCGCGTTCCCGTCGGTGCGGCGACTCTGGCTGGTTTGCGCTCTCGAGCATTTCGGGGCGCCACCTGGGAGCATGAGCTTGTAAAGCTCGATCTACTGTGCCCCGACCAGGGTCCGCAGCGCCGCCCACATCGCGCTCGCGATCAAGCCGGGCCTGGCCCAGGGCTGCCCCGCCAGTGGCGCAACACTGGCCACCGCGGCGGACCCGCTGCCCTGCCACCTCGAACCGTTCGTGGAGGAGGACAACGGCCAGCCCAGCCGCGACACGGGCTACTTACGTGGGCGGCCGCGCCGATGACGTTGGTTTGCTCGTGGTGGAACTCGTCGCGATCCGCGACGAAGAGCCCGCAGGCGCGTCGTCGCCCCGGTCCGGACCGTCTCCTTTCGCCCCCGGCCCCCGAGTCCTGCATCCACTCATCTGCTGGATTCTGGCTGTTTGGGGGGGCACATGCTTTGGATCAAGGAAGCGCAAAAATGGATCAAGGCGCGTGGAAGAGCCAGGGGTCCTGCTTCCATGCGACATCGACGCCGACGCTCTCCGCTGCCAAATCAGGCGGCGCTGGCTGCCTGTTTCGGGTTGCCCGTGTCCGGATCCATGGATCTGGCGCCCACGCGCCAGATCCATTGATCCGTAATCCATGTTATCGTGTGCCCGGTTGGAGTCCTCTCTGGCCTCTCGGCACCCCTCCCCTTCAACGGCGCGCCCCTGCGGGGTAATGGCAGTGTCGGCGTCATTAGTCACCGTTGGCCCAGGTTGTGGGCGACCCCACCGCCAATCTCCGCAATACCTTCACCGTGCCCACCTTCAGCTAATTATGATGGCCAGCTTCCCCCGATCGGCAAAGGCTTCTTTTCATCGTGATCTCTACCTTTGTCACTATATGGTGTGTCGACATCGTAGCATGCTTCACGAGGTAATGTAAGCCTGTGGTTAGTAAATTAAAGGCCCCCCTCGGGGATGATGAATAGACCCCGCGGGGCGCGACACATTTTTGTTAATCACGCGCGCCAGGAGTTGTCGTGGGCACCGCCGAGGGGATCGTGTACCCAGCTGCACGGCAGCCTCAAACGATTGCCTGTCGTATAGAAGTTGACAAATGGATCGTACCTCTCCGTGGCGAAGTTTCCCACCCCTCTCAGACTGATAATTGACTTGTTGTAGTCGTGGTTGTCGTTGTGGTGGTGGTCGTCGTCGTCGTCTTTGTCGTCGTCTCTGTTGTCGTCGTCGTCGTCGTCGTCGCCGGGGGGGGAGGTCTTCGTCGTCGGGGCCCTCGGCGGTCGTCGCCAGGGGGAGGGTCGAAGACCTCCCCGATGCTGTCGAAGGAGATGGAGTCGGAGGATCGCGCTCCATGGCTGATTCACCCGCGATGCGGCGCGATGTGGAGTCCGATATTCTCCACACCGACGTCGCCGATGCATCGCCGACGTTGTCGATCGCCTATGTATCGGCGATGCATCGGTGATGCGGCGTGATCCTCCGACCCCATCCTCTCGGACCCCACTTGGGAGGGCTCTACAGAAAATCGGGACAAGGACAGGCATCGCTGTCGGCGTCGCCGTGGACAATGTCCGCTTGAGACAACAAATCGCCTTCCCAAACGGTGGCTGCTGTCGGAGTTGGATACCATTTGCTTTTGTTGATTGTGCCAATTTAGACGGTACCCATTTCAGCCATGCCAACTGCGTGCGGATTTCTTGGACTGGCGCTGGAAGCCCCTCACTCGCGCGCGGATCGCGCCAGGGGCGGCGCTGAAGGCGCCGCCGGGGGGGTCCCAGCGCCGATCCAAGAAATCTGCGCGGAGCTCTGAAAGCCTATGTTGATGGCGCTGTTCCAAGACCCCTAATTGTCCAGTCTTGATGCCCCGCCCTCGGAGAGCGCGCTCACGGCATGCTTGAACGACCCCTTCCAGCGACCTGGTGTTGGGGTGAGTTGTGTTGCGAGGCGTTCTCGCATTCTCCACGTTTGCACCACACGCCTGAGTTGCCTCGATACGCGCGTTTTGAAACGCAACACGTGCCGTGTTCAAGACGTCCGTGTCAATACGTTGCGTGTTGGCTCCACGTATTGGGCCACGTTGTGGCGAATGTATCGCGTCGGACCCACGTATTCAGGATACGTGTTGAGCTTCGTATCAATACGCTACGTGTTGCGTGATGCGTATCGGGGCAGCTAAGCCACACGCTTTTCCGTCGCAGCGCGGCAGAGGCAATACACACGCGCGTCTGAGCTAAACCTGGGCGCGGAATCGCGATTTAGCCCGCATACAAGAGAGGGAAGGAGGAGAGGCGGCGGCCACGTCTGCACCACACACGGGTGGGCTGAGGATTATTCGCCTGATTCTTTGGCCTCGTCGCTCCAGCTTCACGAGCCTTGCCGTGGCGCAAGGCTACGTGCTTGCGTTCCCTCAAGTACGGTCACTGTTCCCTCCTGTCCTAGGTGCAGGGTAATCGTGGGCCACGACGTGGTAAGCTGGAGCCGAGGGCAGCTGCCGCTGGATGCGATCCCTGCCGCGCTGTGCTTGAATTGTCCGTGTTCCCGTCCTTCTGTTTCTCTCCCTACTGCTTCCTCCCTGTCTGCTCTCCCCCCCACGCAGCTCGCGTCAGGGGCCCCAAGTTTCGGCCGCGCCCGCAGGGCACCGAGGCTCTGTGCATGTACCGCGTGATTCTCGGCGGCGCGCGCGGGCGGGGGGAAATGAGAGAGCGCGGACCTTCCCAGAAGGCTCCCCAGAAGGCTCAGAAGTCACCCGGCCTTCTGAGAAGTTTTCTGAGCCCTCCTCGAATACACGGAAACCTTTCAGAAGGCCCGAGGCCTTATGAGAAGCCCCGCCGCCTTCGAGAAGGCCTCCTCCGTATCACTTCCCCCCCTCGCTCGCCGCCGAGCTTTGCACAGCTTTGTGCATCTGAGGGGCACTTGCGAGGCCCCAGCAAATTCAACCTGCACCCCGCCAAGAGATTCGAAGCAGCATCTGCCATGTGTTGCGCTAAAGGTAGTGTACATATAACGGGGGACGGGGTCAGGGGCCCGGGGCCGGCGCCTCGACCACAAATGTGGGGCCCGGGCGTCATTTTCCTTGTGTTTTTTTACCAGGCTTCGGTAACCCGGGGCCAACAGGGCCCCAAGAGGCTGCAGGGAGGCCCCAGGAGGCCGCAGCGATGGCTCCAGACGCCTTTCAAGACGACTCCCATTACGCCAAGAAGGCCCCCGAAGGCCCCGAAGACGCCCCAAGAGGCACCCCG